ACATAGATTAAGATAAAATGTAATAAATAGTTTTGCATCAAAAGCAAAGAATTTGAATGTCTTCCATCGAGACTTACCTTCAAAACTTTCTGNAAATGTAATAAATAGTTTTGCATCAAAAGCAAAGTATTTGAATGTCTTCCATCGACAATTACCTTCAAAACTTTCTTCAATTAGAGCCTCTACATTATTTATTGAGAAGCCACCAATTATTTGGTGCACTTGCTCATATAAAGGCCATGATGCAGGAGAGCCTCCTGTTGTTCCCATAGCTGTCTTGGCCCTTCTATGAAAAATGCGTACAAAGAAGTCGGAAAAATCAACCAACACCAACACACAAGTATTTTATTCTTTCTTGAAAGGATTAATGTTACCTATATTTCGCCGTCAGATTATCAATCTTCATTTTAACTGATGAGGAGTTGACATTATAGCCCTGCATCTGCATTTCAGCCGCCATCTCTTGGTAAACATGGCTGTTTTTCCTAGGCCCCCTCAAATCATCCAGTTTTTGCTGCCACAACTCCACAAACACCTCCTCTGCTGCTGCGGTCCATGGACATCTCGTTCGCTTCATATTTTTAATAAATTTTTCTTATTTATTTAATTAAAATCACAAAGAAATTTAAATGAAATGAAATGAAGCAAATTACGGGACAAATATCACAATTTATGTATGTATACGCAAAACAGAATGTAAACAAATATCTATGTATGTATACACAAACAAGCGATGCTGCCACTCTCTTTCACTACACCTTCTTCGAATCGTGGTGTTTTTTCGAAGATTACAGAGTTGCATTCGGCATTTAGATTCTTAATGCCAAAAATATTTAGCATTTAGTTGCATTTAGGTAGAGAATTTTGTATGAGTAAATGTACTTTTAGAGTAGCATTAGAGCTAAATGTGCTAAATGCAGCTTTAACGTCCAGCATAAACGGCCTATTATGCTTTGATCAAAGTTTTCTGTTAGTCTCGGGATGTATGTCACACTGTAAACCTTTTTTGTTGTGTTTATTTCTGTGTGTTCTGTATTGTGTTTTTCTCTATGGATGCAGACGTCAAGATAAGGAATTTTAGAGTTTACTTTCATTTCAATCGTGAATTGTAATTTATTGTGATATTTGTTAAGAGTATCTAGAATGATGTTCGCGTCGTTACGTTTAATTATGGCAAAAATGTCGTCTACGTATTTGCAAATAAATTTGATGTCTATGTTAAATTGTTGCTTTAGCTCCGAGATGACATTGTCAAGTAGGTCATCCATGACAATGTCTGTGATTGTAGGGGAAATCGGATGACCCAAAGGTCTGTGTCAAGAATGATAGAATACAAGATTGCGCCAATGAGAGAGGATTTTTGAGCGTAATTTTTGCGTGACGTCATCTTAGTGCAATTGCGAGAAAGAATGTAAGAAATGTGTTACAAGAATGTAAACAATGCAGAAAAATGTGTTAATTTTAATATTACATAACCCAATAAATATAAAAAGATTGATTTATTAGGAACACGTGGCAATAATTTTGGACATGTAGCC